ACAAAAGTAAGAATAAAGAGACAGAAAAGGAAAAGAAAAAATATTCAAGTAAATTGACCACAAATTTTAGTATGACAGAAGAAATCAGGGAGATGTAAAAAAACAAAGCTAAAATAACACTTCAGGATCAAAGAATATAAGAAAGTTCCATTAAAAACTCTAAAGAAAAAGGAGGGAAAATTGAATTCCTAGAAAATAAAACAGCAAGGAATTTGGGTTTTCAATAGATACATATTTTAGCTATTTTTTCAATACAGGGAATAATGATTAGAAAGACAGCTGGTGAATATAATAAGGAAATTGCTGGAAATATAAAGATACCAAAAGCCATATTTAAGCAAGGTTATTGTGGGAAAAAAATCCCTGATAAAGATTTTTATATGGGTCAAAAGAGTTGATAAGAAGAGGAGCAACATAAAAAGAACTGGTTCAAGAAACCTAGTGTGTTTATACCATCTATATTGCATTAAGATATAGGGAAAAGAAAAAAGAACAAACACTTTATATTTTAAAATGTCATTGAAAGAGAATCCATGATGAGCTAGACTGATTTATTTAACATTGGGACATGTGAAAAGGGAGTGGGCATGTATAGATTTGGTAAAATGAAGGCTAATAACAGCAAAATTGTAGCAAGCATGCTTGGAGACCCAAACAAATGAAAACACAACTTTTCTCATTACTTTTGAGGCTTTGAAAGGTGCAGGGAACCATGCTGTTTGGGCCCCTCACTACAAGAAGGACATTGAGGTGCTGGAGCGTGTCCAAAGAAGGGCAATGAAGCTGGTGAAGGGTCTAGAGCACAAGTCTTATGAGGAGAGACTGAGGGCTCTGGGGTTGTTTAGTCTGGAGAAAAGGAGGCTGAGGGGAGACCTTATTGCTCTCTACAACTACCTGAAAGGAGGTTGTAGCGAGGTGGGGGTCGGTCTCTTCTCCCAAGTAACAAGTGATAGGACGAGAGGAAACGGCCCCAAGCTGCACCAGGGGAAGTTTAGGTTGGATATTAGGAAAAACTTCTTCACCGAAAGGGTAGTCAAGCATTGGAACAGGCTGCCCAGGGAAGTGGTTGAGTCTCCATCCCTGGAGGTATTTAAAAGAAGGGTAGACGTGGTGCTCGAGGACATGGTTTAGCGGTAGACTTGGCAGTGATAGGTTAACGGTTGGACTCGATGACCTTAAGGGTCTTTTCCAACCTTAACGATTCTATGATTCTATGTTTACCTACTTCCTACCTCTGGCTCAGGCAAGTAGTCCTTCAGAGAAAGGACATGATCTTTGAAAGGAACTGAACGCCACTGGGCACCCATGACGGTATAGGTCTGTTAATGCAAGGCCTATGTGATTTGGTATATGTTTGTTACTCAATATTTTTAAAATTTTATGTATATAACCACCCAGACACGTGTATATATATTACAATGACCAGAGTTGAAGAACATGGTGAATGACCAAAGGGAAATAAAATAAAACTAAACTAAACAGTTTCCCATTTAAACATCACAATATACTTGTCTCAGGTGCAGGTGCCCAGGCGCTGGCAGCAGCAGCAGCAGCAGTAGGGGCTGCAGGGGCGGCCCCTGTGAGGAGCGGCCGGGGCTGCCCCGCGCCGGACACAGCCGGTTCCAGCCGGCTCCAGCGGCCCCAGCGCCGGGGCCAGCTGCGCGTGGAGCAGGTATCTCCTGCAGCCCATGGAAAGGACCATGCTGGAGCAGATATCCACACTGCATCCCCTGGAGGACCCTACACAACTGCAGGTGGACAGGCCCTGAAGGAACTGTGGCCTGTGGAGAGCCCACGCTGGAGCAGGTTTATCCTGAAGGACTGCAGCCCCTGGAGCAGGGAGAAGTGTGTGAGGAGGGGAGCGGCAGGGAGGAGCTGCTATGGGCTGACCGCAGCCCCCAGTTCCCCGTCCCCCTGCGCCAATGAGAGTGGAAGAGGTCGAGGAGTTGGGGGGGTGAAGGTGAGTCTCGGAAGAAGGGGGGATGAAGGGAAGGTGATTTAGTTCTTTTGTCTTTGTTTCTCACCATCTTACGCTGTTTTTAACTGGCAATAAATTAAATTAACTTTCCCCAAGTTGAATCTGTTTTGCCAGTGATGGTAATTGGTAAGTGATGTCCCTGGCTTCATCTCAACCTATTTTCTTTTTCGACTTATTTTCTCCCCCTGTCCTGTTGAGGAGGGAGGGACTGTACCAGTGGGTACCTGGCTGCCGTCCAAGCTCAGCTCATGCTTTCTTTTCTTTTGGCAGGTCATTTACAAAGGGAGAAGAAGGGCCCCTCTTCTTATCATTACTATAGGCAAAGTGAATATGTAGAAAAAATACACCAAGCTTCCATGTAAAATCTCTCTAAAGTAGGACTGACTTCTACTTTCTACACTGATTCCTGTCTTTTATATTGGAGGATCTTCAGAGGCTGGCTGCTGAGCTGCCAGAGGTGCGGCAGCTGGGAGCTGACAAAACCAGTGGGAATCCATCTGCCCAGACGCCCAGCTCCTGGCTCTTCCCACCTGGGAGTGGAGGACAGCTGAACTTCTTTGAGTACAGGACTGCAGCAGTCTGAGCATTTCAATCCTTTCTTTCCCTCAACTGCTACTGAGTCAGCCTTGTATAGCCCACATGAATGCCTGTGTCCCCTTTATGCCATCACACCAAGATTGTCCTCATATTTGGGGGGTCAAAAGAACAACAGCCATCAAAATGGAATTCTGCCACAGGTGCTGCTTCTTTGTAGCTTGAGCTTTTTGGAACACGGTTTTCCTGTTGTTTGGAGTGTCATGGTACAATTTGACATCAACAGTAATAGTAAGCAGGAACACAATCACAGGCCCTTTGAGTCACTCAGACCCCCAAAATCACATTTCATGAAAAGTACTCTTCCTCTCTCTCTCTTGCTGTATATATGTGTGTGTGTGGATGTATACACACGCGCGCGCACACACATATCTACAGATGTAAGTATATATATGTGTATATGTTTATTTAATATATACTTCTATATAAATTAAGTAAATGGAAGTTTTAAGAGAAAATAAACTGGAAAACTCTCACATTCATCAAAATGTTTGTCAGTGGGAGATAGGAAATATTTAAATGAATACCAGAGAATTTGTGACTGATGAAGTATCATAATAGTTTCAGTGACCTAATGAAAGATTTAAACTTGATCATGGATCAAATGTAATTATAAAAACCTGAAAGGAAAGAAAAATAGCAAGGAAAGAAAAATAGCATAAATGTGGGAGGAACCAAACTTAGAGAACCATGTTCAGTATGGATTGACTAGATTTAATCCCTCAAGACAGACTGAATTCCACATAATGTCTTATATATGATCTACCAGTAAGCAAGAAGAATATAATTACATTCAAAAAAATTGTTGATGTTACCCTACACTGCATTTTTTTTCTCTTCCTGTGAATTGTTTTCTTTAAACAATCATTTGAAACTCAGGGGTTTTTTTTAAATGGTTATAATTATACCCCTTTTAGTAAACTTGGCAATTTTTTCTTTTAGGTGAGACACTACTGAGCTCTATAACAATGTAAATAAACATTTATGGATACATGCACTTATCTAGCTTCTCATTTATTAGTCATAAATTATTAGTGTTTTTTTCCAACTTTTAAACTTACAGCCTTTTCTGAATGTAAACGGAAAACCAGGGTAAGGGAGAAATAACTTTTAGATTTATTTTTAAATTACATCGACCTCAATATTCTAGAGAGCTCAGAAAAGTAGAGCTCCTCAAAATATGTTTACATGAAAATATAACTGTTCTAGTAGGCATTTCCTGTATCCTCTGTAGTTAGCAACTTGGACAGAACAGATTCTAAACTTCAAACAGAGTAAGATTTGTGGATTAATGCGTTTCAATTTTTTTTTTACCCAAGACATTTTCTGTGAAACTGGAAGAGGAAAATTCAGTGTTCTACTTTTCCAATTCTTAATCCATACCTCATACTGGATGTGATTAAAATATTATTTTAGCATTTATAGAAGACACTACAACTATCAGAAATTCTAGATGTTTAGCCAGTGATTTCTATTTATCCAACAGCTTGAATTATCTTATAACTCTCATAGCAGACAAATGCCCTTGCTCAGTACCAGTATATATCTTATGCATTATAAATTTGGGCCTTTAATCCTCTGTTCTAATTTCCAACTGATGTTACTTCAGAAAGAAGTTTGGCAACCTAACTTTGATATTTCTAATACAACCTGAATGTCATACCTGTAGGACTGAAACAGTTAAGACAAACTGGCACTTCTCCCACATTCTATTCAAACGTGTTAAAGTGATTGTACTGAGGTACTCCTGCTACTATTTTAAAGGATTTACTATTGGCTGACTGTGCTCTGGGACATGCTGTACTGTAATAGGATAACAGTTTTTTAACAGTTCTAATATACAGCTGCATATTAGGAACTAGATATTTCACTTAAATTGAAGTACATATTCTGTGGCCTTTAAGAAGCAAAACAAAATATTATGTAACCCATTCAAAAAATGTAAGTTTTGTATTTTCTTTTCAAAAGTTTTTGGTGTGATAATAAAAGATAAGCCTAATCAATCACAAAAAAAAAAGGTGTGATAGATGTAGATGTTTGTAATCGCCATCAGCATGGATTGAAATACATTTGAATTTTGCTATTTGAGAGTTATTGAAAATGTATATCAAACTTTTTAGTAGCTACATATAACATTTTACTTTATGAAGATAATGGCAAAACTAATGACCATGTCTCTTGGACATATCTAGTCAGGATTTAACAGTAGTACAGGGTTAGGTAAAGAAAAGTGGTAATTCACACACTGATGCTGTTGTAACATATTGATATTTCACTCTAAGCCTCACCTACAGAGATACTTTGTTTTCATTTTTAACATTTCAAAAGCTATTTTGGACATTATTTCTTCCAAGCAACAGGCAAGAATTGTCTACAGTTGAGTGCCATAGCAAAACTGGATAGTGGAAAGTGTTTCTCAAAGGCATACCTGTCCAGCTCTTGCATTTTCACAGACAAAAGTATCGTAGAATACAGCAAACTGTGGGGCATTGTCATTAACATCCAAAATTCTTACATAGACAGGTACACGAGTAGTATCTTTGGGGTTGTCTGACAGGAGAAGAAAGAAGAAGAAGGAGTTTGTTTTCCTACTAAACGTTTTCTGTTTTCTTCCAAATTTCATGAGAAATAGACATGCAAGATTAGGCATAAAACTGGTCAAACTTTAGTGTACAAACTGATACCAGGTAAGAATCAGGCCCCCTGAAAAATTAGGAGATGTTTTGCTTAGAGTAAAAAATAAATTAAACTATTGGTATCTAGTGAGTAATTAAGCTTTCACATGAAAATAGGGGCTGCAACTGTTAATAATCTATGCAAATATAGTATATGAAAAGTATGCCCATTACTGTCATGACAAATTTGATTATTTGGTGGGCTCAAGACTATAAGTCTGCTGTAAGGTTTTGATTTTTAATTTTAAAGTGATTTGTGATCTGTTTTATTTTACACAGAAAAGACACTGTTGACTTTGTGCATACATATTTTGAAAATTTTTCAGGCCTCACTTTTCTCTCTTGTGCCTTAATAAATAAGGAGAAATTCCAACAAAGCCAATGAAAGTATCCCCCAATAATCTGGTAAGGAATTTATTAGAATCAGATTTTTTATGTTTAAATTGCCTTAAAAAATATGAATGTAGATTTTCAGACCTTAGATTATGAAACAAGAGTAGTAACCTCACCCTTGCCAAATGTCAAAAGCCTAGTATTACTTAGAGTGCCCTCTCATTAGTATAGGTTAATTCAGGAATACAAGTGTTTCTGTTCCCATTTGCTGATCTAGTTGCCATACCAAGAATCTGAAATAATGCCTGGGAGTAAAAAAGTGCAGCCATTTCTTGGAATTCTGCTGGCTGGTAGCTAAATACTATATGATTTTGCAACCTTATTGGAATAGGAAAAGTAACAGTAGAGATGATTCAAAATTACTGTGGTTTTTTTTTTTTTCCCTTTTAGGCTGCTTCAAATAAAACAATAAGCATTTAGGAGTAGCTGGCATTAAGTTCGCTTGTTATTAATAACACCTTTGCTAAAGAGTGTGATGTGGATCTTTGTGACATCCTGAATTGTTTAAAATGGCAGGTTTAGGGCACTGTTTTTCATAGCCTTTTGCATTTTTGTACCAACTTTACAAATGAGTTCTAGTCTTAACACTGCTGTCCCATTGTGTCATGCTTCACAGGTAATATTTTTAAAGATTTAAAGACCTAAATCTAATGTCCCTCTTTACTTCTTTCTCCAAAACTAATGTACCTCTGAAAAGCACTAGCTACTCCAACTAGGTCCAGAACGTAAATTTCCTCAAAGTATCCTGACAAGGAAATAAGTTTAGCACTATGATATAAACATACAAGGATACTAAGTTTTTCATTATATAAATACTTCTGAAAAGTATTCTTACAACATTGGACAGCACTGTGAAGGATTGTAAGCTCAGGACCATGCATCGCAAGAAAAAAAAAAAAAGAGTTGAAAAAAAAAAAAGTACAGCTACCAGGTGTGCTCAATACAACCAGCCTGTTGCTCTGGACTACAGAAATGGGGACAGGCAGGCTGAGTGGTTAATTGGCTGGACGCGATGTTCCATTTAGTCCTCTGCAGTGTAGTTCTTGCCAGCCATGCTTCACTGCTGATCAGCAATTTTTTTTCTTTTTTTTGACTGGTGTAGAATTAACCCTAAAAAACCAGTGCTTTGAAAGCAAGTGATCCTCATTAGCTGATTTCAAAGATCAGACCTTTGTTCCTTAGAACATTTTTTGTCAGGTGATTAGAGTTAATCTCAATAATGTAGCAGGTTTAGGAGGATCTCTGCTTTCTTCTTTGTATTTTTAACATGAAAATATCTACAGAGAGCTGATTTAAATAGTCCAGGAAATGCTACAGCTCAGGCATCAAATTGAACCTAACTTGTAAGATATATCGATTCCAAGAGCTGTAGGTGTAGATACCATAGGAAGAGATAATGAAATTATTTCTAAGGAAATGAAAAAGACGAGGGAGACAAAAACATAGATTACCATCCTGAACTCTGCTACTTTAACAGAAATATCATGTCGTTGTCCTCAAAGAAAAGGAAGAAAACAGAATTACTCCGGTGTTATTATTTAATTGGGTCACACTTCAGAAGTAACTTGGATATTAAAGGCCAGTGGTGGAAGTAGGTGAGGAAAAAAGCAATGAGGAGACAGCTGCTGTTAGCTACCCCCAATTTACTTTCCCAGAATATCTAATAGAAAGGGGTGGGTGGGGAAGGAAGGGAGCTTTTTTCTCATGAGGTCACAGATGTAACTATATGGGCTAAGGAAACCTGAAAGTAAATAGAGATCAAATTAGCTTACTGATCTCCGCTGCTATAACGCTAAGATTGTGCCATTGTGATATCTCACGGTCAAGTGGCTTAGAAGTATAGATGGACCCGTTTCCAGAATGAATATTAAATATCCTATCAAGGTCAGTGTGACGATCCAGAGAAAACCTAAATATGATAAAGAAAGAAAAAGTATTGTCAAAATGATAGAAAATGGAAGAAAGTATATGTTTCACAACAAGTCAATATAGCTTTTAGGTTCTATGTGTTACATTACAAAGGTTAGTTTTGAGAAGATATATATTTAGTTTCTATAAAAACTTAGAAAAATTCTCAAGGTTAGTTCCACAGAATGAGGAATAAAAATTTCAAGAATTTCATAAATATGATACAATAGTATAAAATTTTATCATCTGAGCTTTTATAGACATATATGAGAATCATAAAAAGTAAGTCAGAGTGTCAATATAATAATTAAAGAATTGTTTTAATCCTGAAAGGAAAATTGTCTTTGATGTTCCTTCAGACTGACACTGACAGCTAATTTATGAGCTTTTTAAAAGTGTTGTTATAAGCTCAACTTCTACACTTTTGGATATATTAATTTACTAGACATCAAGTTAAAAAAGGTCTATAAAAATAAGTTCATGTGCAGAACTTTCACTGTCATGAATATACTGATAAAGGACCTTCTATGTTGCTATAGTTGCTATACTTTTGTAGGCAAAACTACTAACACAACATGGCAGAATGTCAAACTAGAATCAGAAAATTGCTCTTTCCTCCATTTTTTCTAGTATTTAACACTGCCTTCAAAGTTAAGATTGAACTTTTGATGTGGAATTAAATGTAGGATTTTGCAAAGTACAGAACATTTACCTAACTACCTGGGAGAACTGGGCCAAATTAAAAAAAAAACAACTGCTAGTACACTTGTACAGTACAATAGAAACTATTGTTTGTGTTTCTATGAACTTTTATGAGTGATCCAAACAGTTCATCAAGTGTATCTCTTTTTACTTACAGTACTTAACTAAATTGAGCCAAATGAAAAAATGCTGTAATATGAAAATAATGTCAATAACATTTTGATGGGTTTTGTTTGCTCACTCCACTGCACACAATAACATAAATATGTAAAACAAACAAGCAAAAAACCCCCAACAAACAAGCCAACACCAAAATGAATACAAAAACAAAACAAAAGGAAATTAGACCAGCCAAAAAAGACTTCTGAAAGTGCAGGAAAGGCTTGCTCAAATTAATTTTTTTTACTACTAGCTGACTATAATAACTTTTAGTTAGAATTAAACAAAAATCTGGTATTTTTCAGAGAAATCATATTTAAGACTATTTGGCTTATATGATAAGCATTTTATTTTACTTCATCCATGGAAGGAGTTTTAATAAGGAAAAGAACTTACATTGACAGCACTCTAGCTAACTGTTTTTCAATAAGCAATAATTACTTCTCTAGCTAATGAGATCTATTCCACATTGTTTCATTAAAAAATTCTATACCATTTGATAATAGCCATGAGATAAGCATATACTTTTCCCCATCATATTACTTCTAATGGCCTCCAAATGCTACCAAAATTATTATTTCCAGAAAATATCTCCATATTCATTGAATAGAAATAAAAATTAGTGCAACAGGAAGCTATTGGCACTCAATTTATAGGAAGCCAAACTTAAATAGAATTTTAGTAAATAGAAACTAATATTTTAAAATAAACAGCTAAACAGAAAAAAAAAAAAAAACAAATCAGAATCAATTCTACAACCTGAAGCTGTAATATTTTTTCTTAATAGCAGTATTAAAGTATTATACGAACTGCCCTAATTTCAAAATATAACAACTTTCAAAATACTTTAGTTTAAATGTTGGCTGTTCACTTCTAGGGTAAACACACAGTACTTTGTATTTAATATTGATATTCTAGAAGTACAAGCTTGTAAAAACTTATCCTAGGTAATTATTGTTTGAATGAAGACACAAGGTTAATTTGGAAGTTAAGGAACAGAGCAAATACTAAAGAGAATTCGATCTATGCTATTCAAATTGTTTTAAAGTTCTTATCTTCAACTAGATAGCATTAAATGAAAGCTAAAAGAAATGACTGTACTATGAAGAGCATTATCACATATATCTTCAATATTTTTCTTCAAGCAAACTAAATCTAGATTCAAGGGTCCCTTTCAATTTTTTGGAAATGTCTTTGCCCTTATTACTATTGACTTGCTCCCCCTGCCTCTGTTAAATTATGTTCTATTGGAGATTGAAAGAAACATCAACAGGAGAGAAAAAATATATAAAATAATCTTTAGGTTGCTACTCTGTGTAAATAATAGTGATGAGGGAAATACCTGCCACAGTTGTTCAATTCATCAAGTTGTGTCAGAAACAAAATGAGCAAAATCTCCAAGTTTGTTCATTTTCCAGTCATGATTAAGAAAATATAACTACTAAAATTGTCAGTTGTCTCATGCAATTAGGTCGGATAAAGATTCAATGTTAAGCTATTTATATGTTCTTAAATTTTAGAGGCTTGGTGTTATCTCCTGTCTTTTCCATACACACAAATCACCATAGGAGAGAATTAGATTCAGTTTCATTTCCCAATCCAGTTTTACCACCTGGGCCTCATTAAGAAGTAAGTGGCAATTGACTTCAAAGTCAGTAAATAAGGTTCTTTTGCCAGAATGTAATTTTTGTATTTTGTTTGATATTTCAGACAACACACATCCAAATTGGACAGCATTGTCTTACTTGTTTCTTAAAGCTTATGTATTATAGAAAAACAAACAAAAAACCCCACACCAAAATATAGTTTCCTACATTCAGCTAGATGTGATGTAGCATGTCGCATCTAGTAGTATACATAAAAAAGATTTTTAAAGATATTAATCTTTCAATGTCTAATTTCTTGGTGTATTTGAGCACACACAAAGATAATTTTATTCTGTACAGCAATCACTCTGGCAAGCCTGCAAAGCAGGAGGCACCAACCAGAGCAGGTGAGATCTGCACTGCGTACTTTCCAGGACTGACCAGAGGAAGCATTAGAAAGCTCTGTCCCTTTCCTGGGTCATAGATTGATTTGACACTTTCTTACAGTGTGAAGCAAGAAGTAGTCCTGAAAAGCTTACTTGAAATCAGTGTGTAATTTTATAAGTTTTCTGAAATTTGAAATACTAAAAAATATTTCCTGTGTCTCTTGTGTGCAAGTGAATGGCTGTTCCCTGAGGTGTTCGGAAGCTTATGGATAGCATCATTCTCATTTCTGTCTATCTCTGGGACACTAATAAATAACAGAAAAAAAAAAACATTAGCATCTTCTTCCTGTGTGCAATGTGTACGTGAAAATTCATGTTGTATTACTATTTCTCTTAATTTCTTTAGCAAATGATGTGTTTACAGAGACTGGAGTATTACCTTATTGGACTTGAGGCTGAATCAGGATCCCGTGCCATTACTGTCCCTATTATTGTCCCCAACTCAATATCTTCATGCACTTCAAAAAGGTAAGAAGATCTGCTGAAGACAGGAGGTTCATCTACATCTTCTACAGAGATTTTCACAATAGTTGTATCTTTGAAAGGCCCAAGATAATAGAAGCGGGGATCCACATGGGTATTCTCAGCTTCTACTTTCAAGGTATAAAGTCGTCTTGTCTCATAGTCCAGTGGCTAAAAATGAAGATGATGATACAATTTATTAAATTACATCGCATATTGACAGATGTGGACCTATATACATAATGGAAACTGAAGAGGACTCAAGCCTTGTCAGATCTTGCTCTGGGTAGGGGGAACCCCAATATAGTTCAAATTTTGCACAGCATAGGGATCACTTTCTCTAGTAAGAAATTTCCATTGTTTTTAGAGGAACTTTCTCTTCCTCAATATTATTTGAATTAGCATAGCACCGATGACAAAAAAACTTTCAGTGCAAATTTACCAATTATTTAGTGAATTTTACAGGTGTTTCACAAGAATATGGTTTTAAAACAATCATGTAAACATTTAAAATACTTGAAATACAGACTTGAAATACTGACACTTCAGAACAAGGTACTTAATACTAATATTTCTCAGGAAATAGTCTAAACTCTTGGATACTCAAAATGGCCTGAATATCCTTATTGTCAAACAAATGTAGCTGGCCTTAAATATCAGGAATGTTTTAAGTTTCTTTTAAGGAGGCCATGTGTGTCAAATTTCTCTATATCTAGAGAAACAGTAAGAGCTTAATCTTTTTCCTTTTCATTTAATTTAATGAATCCAACATCAGAGATTTTTTTTGCAAAACAGATTTGACATTTTTGTCAGCAGTCCCTTTTTAAAATGGAATGAGGAAAGGTTCAGGGTTATAATTAGAAACCATTTTGGATAGAAAAGAACCTCTATTCCTTCAAATTTTTCTGTCATAGATGAAAACTGTTAGCTAATTAATGATACTGAGGAAATGAGCAAACTGAGAATTTACCTTTCTGACACAAAGAAGACTTCATTAACTCCCCCAAAATCTCAGGGAGATATCAAACTGGTGGTTTTCATTCATCAAAATGAGTGGTAGAAGACTTGTTTTTTTTCTGCCTAACTGCTTCTAAATACAAATTAATGTTCATGAAAGATGCCAGAGTGACAGCCTAGAAATCTAAATATTCTATTTAAGAGCAGAAGGATGCAGTCCAGTGAAAGAACGAGTTTCATCACTGCCCCAAACTTTTTTTAAAAAAGTAGTTAGAGCAGAAGGGAGAATATCTATGAATATAATTGAGAAATGCAACACAGTGCTGCTATTTAAGCTAGATCCGAGACTATTGGTGTGTCTATAAAGTGCAGCATGCTGCTATTAAGGGATGTTGGCTTCAAGCCTAGAAGCAAAGAAGCCATGTTAGTTCTGTTTTATTCCAATTAGCTGACTTAATTTACCAGAAGGTGTGTGTGCAGATGTAGTTAACTTGCTACTAGTACATTCATATCCAATTTAGACATTTCTTCAGGCTACACTGCAAAACATGGATATAAAACGTGTGGATTTTACAGGTATTCCAACATATCACCAATAATGAACAAAACTATTGCCCAAATATATGAAATTGTGGTAAAGCAGTTCTTTTTTCTGTGAGAACTTTTATAGAAAAACTTGTATAGAAAAAGTTCTTTTGCAGCAGGCATTAAATTCAGACTTAGTAACTTAAGGGCTCAGTAAATGAATACCAGCTATTTGTAGTTATTCACCCACCATTGAAAACAGAAATGACAATGTGGCTAAATAATAAAAAAAGATAATATTTTCATAAATTAATAAACTGAGCATATCTTCTTCCTTGCTAGTTAATGCTGTTGTCTGTGCTATCTGAATAAGCTACTTATTTATCAATATGAGAAAGCATGCTGAAAATTGCAAAATGTGTCAGAATGTTAATGACAAAAGGAGAAGATCTTGTTCATTAGTATTTATTGGTGACATTTTTGGAGCTGCTGTGTTACAACATGAATTTTTTATGCTTGATCCTGTTATTAGACTGTTTTTTCAAGGCTGTATTAATTTAATATAATAACACTCTGTGTGAAAAATCTGAAGCAAGCAAGAAAGGAGCATCTCAAGAGAAGCCTTCATAAACTTCTAGGAAAAGGAAAAATATTGGGCCCCAAACTTTGTATTTTCATTCCTTCCCAGGTAAACTATAGTGCTGACTATGAGCATAGAAGAACATAGAGATCAAAAAGGAACACACTCTGATCTTTGCAGAGCTTATCTTTTCCTTGGTTGCCATTATCAAGAGATGTGGAGATGTACTCTCTAGCAGTGTTTAATTTATTATTTTGTGCTTAAGGAGATTTGTTTTAAAAGCTAATATAAACAGTGCTTTATGTTAGAAATGCTGCTATCCTGGTTTCAGCTGGGATAGAATTAATTTTCTTCTTAGTAGCTGGTATAGTGCTGTGTTTTGGGTTTAGGATGAGAACAATGTCGATAACACACTGATGCTTTGGTTCTTGCTAAGTAGTGCTAAGCTGTTGCTAAATAGGTGCTAAGTGGCGCTCACACGGGTCAAGGAGTTTTCAGCTTCCCCTGCTCTGCCGGGTGCACGGGGGGCTGGGAGGGGGCACAGCCAGGGGGGCTGACCCAGCCTGGCCACAGGGCTATGCCGTACCATGTGACGTCATGCTCAGTATATAAGCTGAGGGAAGAAGAAGGAAGGGGGGGGACATTCGGCGTGATGGCGTTTGTCTCCCTAACTAACCGTTACGCGCGATGGGGCCCTGCTTTCCTGGGGATGGCTGAACACCTGCCTGCCGATTGTTATATTTTATTTTACTTAAGTTATTAAACTGTTCTTATCTCAACCCACGAGTTTTCTTACTTTTAGCCTTCCGGTTCTCTCCCCCATCCCACTGGGGGGGAGCGTGTGGTGCTTAGTTGCCGGCTGGGGTTAAACCACAACAGCTGCCTAAACTCTTTTGAAACACACCTCAAAATCCCAAAGACAAGGACTGAGGGACTTCCGGAAGGGAAATTGTTGAGCAGCAGGAGAATGGCATTTCTAAGTGTGAGCTTTTATACCTCTAAAAGTGCTCTGAGATGCAAGACAGAAAGCAGAACTAAAGCTAGCTCTGAAACAGGGGCACCATCATTATTCACTGCTCATGTGTTAACCAGCTGATGTGTTGGAAACAGGAACAAAACAAACAATACAACTTGCGACTCAGTTTCCATGAGTGTTTGTGTTCTGGCATACACTGGTCGCCTAAGTTGATGAGAATCTCCTAGATAAGGAAAATCTATGTGTCTCAATAGTGAGTGAACTGTGTATTCCTTGCTGAAGAAAACAGGTTATGTGAATACTAAAGAAGTCTGTAGTTGAAATCACAGAGATAATTAGTACTAACACATTGGGAATGGTCCATTTTTTACATACTTTGCTGGCAATAATGCTTTAAACCTATGCTGCGTCTCAGATATTGTTACCACCTGTTATTTCCAGTTCATCTTAAAGGGAAATAGTGCTCATGGGGGATGCTTGCAAGTGTTAAGCAGTTAGAACATGTCATCATATGATCTAAACACTTTTTTCCAATGAACATTTGTGGCATAACGTTGACACCAAAATCATTTAGTGATTGTTGTTAACAGACACCTTTCGCACAGTTATGATGCCTTCCTGTGTGTCCTTCTGTGTCACAATATCAAACATATCTGTCCCATCGCCATCTATAATTCTGTACTCTACTTCTGCATTTTTTCCAGTGTCTGCATCTGTGGCTTTGACGCTGCCAATGGCTGACCCAACTGGGGAGGACTCGGGAATGCGGAGGTGGATGGTACCTGTCAAAGAGACAAAGAGGCACTCAGGAGCCCCACAAGCCATTACACATGCATTAACATTATGTCACACAATAGCTGATTACATATTTTTGTGTGTCTTTTATTCTAGAGAACTTGCCATTTAATACTGAGAGGATGGGTACAATGTGAGGCAGAGAACTATGCAGGGGAAAACTTCAGGTAGAAGATTGAAAACAAAATTGTAGAAAACAAAATCAGAGAAAAATAGAATTGAAAAGGACCTTTATTCTCCTATCTCAAAGGAGAATCAACTGTCTGTACTTTTCTCGTCTACGTCATTCCTGAAACATCACCTGGTAAGACTGCTCTTGTGTTCTTTTCAGGCTTCGCTCTGCTTTTTTCCCCTTACTATCTAAGGTGAATCTTTTGGGATACATTTTGTGTCTATTTTATCATGGAAGCAATATAAAGAACAGAATCCTCTGACTTCGCTGGCCAGTTCTAAGCAGGAGACTGACATTTCAGCTTTCAAAATTAGATAGTCAGATACGATTTTAAATAAATTTGAATGACATCCTAATGCAGTGATAGGTTTTTGAAAATCCACAGGCAGAAGGTGTGCCTATGCTTGTTAAATCAGTAAAATCATGCTTAAATAAGGCTTATGAACATTGCAATTTTGGTTTTGTGCTACTTTTCCTAGCTCATTTGTATCCCTTTATTGTGGTGTCATACAGCTGATAAAAAACATAGGAATAAAACTGTCATCATTCAGACATGCTGCAATAAATTGAAATAAATATCTTACCATATATTTTAGTATTCTATGTCCTAGCGTTACTGTGAAAACTGTAAATAAGGGTTGAGATCTCTGGTCCCATCTGTCAGAACATACGGTAGGAAAACACATGGGACACATAATGCACTATGAAGAATTCTCAGAAAAAGGTTTTAAAATGAGTGCAGATACAGCTGTCATTCCAAAGATGAAAGTTAAGTCATCAAAGCTCTATTAAAAAGCATTTCCTTCTCTGGCCTTAGTTAAGTGTTCCAAGATTTGTTGTTTTACCTAGAGATATCCTAAGGTAAGTAAAGTGAGTTAGAAAGAGAGTTCAGTTAACAGTAACACAAAAGTGGAAGTGGTAAAGGCCAGCAGCCACAACAGGGAAAAGATGAACAGGCTACTCAAAAGGCAGCACATATATACCTCATTACAAATAAGAAATACAGAAAAGTCCATAAAGGGAGTTGTTATTTTTGTGCGATCAGGAAGAATCGTGGGGAGAGAGCAGTGGCAAGGCAGTATGGTAAGGCCAATAGCAACATAATCCTATCATATCTTCAGGAAAGCACAGGTGAGTTGTGAGGATTATCAGTATCTCTTAATAGACTATATTACAAGCTAGCTACAGAGTGACAAAGGAACTGTTTTTGGTTTTGGGAACACTCACTGAAAAAAACCCTATTATTCAGTGGGACCTTTGAGACATTCATTCTGCAGAATTATTTTTTTCTGTTCTGTTTTGTTATAGTTTGCCAAAGCTAAAAAAAAAAAAAAGGCAAAAATTCAAAAAAATAAACACATTCATATATAGTTTGTAATTAAATGTTGAACGAAAAACATTGAAATTTGATTTCTTCATATAATTTTACTTAGGCGGCTTTTGATGTGAAACTGATACACAGCAGTAGAATTAATATTTTATGGCCATATACATTCCACATTCTATTTATATGAATTTATTTTTACTCAGTTACATTTTGATGTTTCAATCAAGTGATTTGTCTTGCATTTACGCTGACATTTTCATTACCTTTCTCTAATACCTAAATCTGTGTACTTTGCTACATTAGTATATAATCTCTCTGTAATCGCCTAATGGTTAAAAAAGCAGCAGAAAAAATAGCCTCTGCTCCCATTTAATATTTATTCAGTACTATGTAAAGACTATGGTGAAAGACCACTTTTTTTTTCCCAATTAATATTTATATGTTATAATTAGTTTTATGGTGTGTCAACTATTCCCCACATTTTTTTCTGCAGTGCTTAAAACTACATCTCCAAGCTATGCCTTGTGGACACTACTTTGACTCCCACTGCACTACCCAACTCATTAATTTAGTCTACAAAGTGCTAAGAGCTCGTATCTTGAATTGCTAATAAGGTAGTAGAAACAGAGAGCAAAAATATCCAGAAACCTATCATCTGAAAGATAATTTTATGCCTAACCTATCCATTTATAGAAATCTCCACCATAATATGAGACATTTCATTTTATTATTTTTGTCACTGAAGACATTTAATGCATTGACTAAGTGTGGGTTGCAGTGCAGCTTTAGACACTGTATCAGAACACAAACTACACCAAACTAGAATTATTTGTGCAAAACTCTGCTGTTAATCCTTTTTCTCTCGTTTCTCTTCTTCCTCAAGGAGAGTAATTTAGTGTTTGCATTTACTCCCATGAGTGATGTTCTTTCATTTGTCTGTGAGGAATAAAAATGGGAAGATCAAGGAAAGTAAAAGCTTTTCCATATACTAAGGAGAGTGGAAACCAGCTGGAAGATTAAAGTCTACACACTTGTGTCTGGAAATACTTCAGTCAGTCATAAAAGAATGAAAAAGCAATCTTATTCATGTTTACCCTTCATCCTATTTACTCTTGAATAGGCACATAATGTAAAGGTAAATATTTTTAGAGAGTAATACAGACTATCGTCTCACAGGAGACATGGACTGCTGTAACTCAGATACACTGACTTTCAGTCAGACTCAGGCTCCTAAGTCCATAAACCACTTTTTCCATTTATCATTGGTCAATATCATCTTGTTACTTCTAGGAACACTTAGAAAGATTACAGTTGAAACAGAGATCCAATATCTGAGGTCTTTGACAGCCTTTCTGTGCAGAACCTTGATAAGATTCTACATTTTATCATGCTTCCTCAGAAGAACAGCCACTGCTACCTATATGGTTTTCAGGAGATCTTTAAGAAGAGAAAAATATTCTGAAGAGTCCTTGCTCTGTAATCTAAACAACAGAGGAATTAACGGCCTTTTTGGGTTTTTTTTGAGAAAGTATAATAAAATACAATATGTAGAATTTTCCACAATTCTAATATGAGTTTCTTATGGGAGAAGTTTAATCTGTTATGAAACATTTTATTGAAACATGTAGCTGTAATATGCTACTGAGTCCTGTGAAAACGTAATAGACCTTTTTATATTTTTCCTGATAATCTATAAATCTGATATAAATATGATTGTCTCATGAACCTAGTAGACCTCTGCTTTTTATTAATGGAACAAAATAAGAATAATTTAACTTAATCAGTATCAATTCCAGTAGTCTCATTGAACTCTGTTAAAATTGGGAATCATTATAAAGTCTATTTGCACTTTGAGATTAAATATAAAGATTTTTTAAAAAGTCAATAGCTATTTTTACTTTCATATATCTAGTAAAATGAGTCAGATTTATAAATGTTTTGGTTTTCATTTCCAGTGAAACATACATTTATATCTAGCAAAACTATTGGCAGAGAGAAAGTAGAGAGAAAAACAACAAAACAGCAGCAAAAAGCACCCATAAGAGTAAGACTAAAAGTTTCTTTAAAACAAAGGTCACATCTGATTTACATTAACATTAGTAGAAAAATGCATAGATATTTCTGGGATGCTACATCAGATCCTCATCTGACTCAAATATGATGTTGGACTGCCAGATAAGTCATGTGAAGATGCGTAGAAAATTGATTCCATCATGCTAAGTATCAATTTAACACACTGTTTAAGAAACCAAAAAAAAAGAAAGAGTATAAATAAGCATGTTGGATGCTTATATGCTGTTGTAAATTTAACTGTTGAAATTAGCTTTTCTGTAAAGCTTTGAACATGACACGTCTTTGAATAGTCTTTCTCAATAGGTCCAAAGAGGAGTAATACAGCATTCCTCACCTACACAGCACTGGAATTACCAATAACCCTCTATATACAAATGGAAAGAAGAAAAATAATAAATCAAAAAAATGTGGAAATACAAAGAACATACAATGACAAATTAACAATAAATTCTGTCCAGAATAGGGCCTGTGTGGAAATGTCATTTACTTTACTTTGGGAAATTTTCTATCAGGTTTTGTAGCACTGTAACTGGAAAAGTACAAATCTGTTTGATTGCCTTCAAGTAATTTCCTTTTTGTGTTCTTCATGATTAAATATTTAAGCAGGTACTACAATTCAAACATTTCTGCGTATCTGGAATTACTACATGTTTTATTTTCCAGTGGGGGAGTACATAGGATTTAAGCAATAGGTAACGGAAAAGAAAAACATTGCTCTAATGATCTTATGAGTCCACCTACCACCCCCTCTCATAGTACTGGAAAGTATTCCAGGTTTGCTGCAGTTATATTTGACCATGTAACTGTTTTCCTAACAAACAAATGCTGTAACATTTAATATACTGCTTTAATAATAGTGAATAAATCAGTACATAAGCCTTTTGTTCATGTGTGCCCCATAATCTAGATTTACTCTAAATTAAACCAGATGGTGATTGCTTAACTCTTTAGTTTGAAGCTCTTACAGTGCAAGGCAACTATTAAATGCAGCTTACTCTGGGGGAATCGAGGTGGATTGTCGTTGACATCAGTCAAAGTGATGTTTACAGTGGTGGTCCCTGATAATCCACCCATCTGGCCTCCCATGTCCTTTGCCTGGATAACTACTTGGTACTGCTCCCTGTTCTCTCTGTTCATGTTTGGCAAAGCAGTCCTGATGATGCCTTAAATAAATAAAGAAAAAACAAAAATTGTTAATAACCTCTTTATTTTTGATGTGCAGAAATCTGCTGCATCTTTTTGTATTAGTCTGTGCAATATATTTTGAAAATATTCATTTCGTCTTTTAAAGTACAAATTTCTGTTCATAAGCTTTATAAATAGTCTTCAGTACAGGCTACCTGTTTGTTAAACAAACTTTAGTTCTACATCACAGCTCCCTTTCCAGTTTCCATTTCATGCTAAAAATGATTCAAGATATTTATGCACAAGGTTTATAAGTAGAAAGAACAGCTTTTATTAGTCCAAATAGAACCATTAAAAAAAAAAAGAACAACATTTTCTAGGACACAAACTTTTCTTCTTGCCTTTATCAGAAATGTTGTTACTTAGATCCTTAAGCTATCAATAGTACCACTGTAAAGTTACTTACGCTTCATAGTGTCAGGTGCAATAACTCTAAGTTTTTATATTTATTATAAGAATTATAAATTATGAGGAAAAAAACAAGAAATCATTTCATTTAGTTTTTAAAATAAATTTTTAGCTGATTTAAGATGTTTAAAATCAAAGAAAAAGTCTATAGTTCATGGTAAATGGAAATAATGACAATTTTCCTGACCTGTTTCTGGTTCCACAGAGAAATATGGCTGCCCCTGAAGTATGCTGTAAATTACTCTGGCACTGTTTCCATATGAAGGGTCATCGGCATCAGTAGCTGTGACTTGCACCACAGAAGTACCTGAAACATCCAAAGTCAACCTAGTTTCACATGGTAAACAATAGCTATGGTTGAGCTGAATTTTTATCCTTACCCAGCTACAATCACTTCATACTTATGTACTCACTTCCTCTTTTCATAAGACTTATTTGGTTTTATTACAATAAATATCTGCTTTCCATTACTTCGAATAGTTTTTTTTTTGTCCAATGATGTCAATGTGATATGAAACTACACATGCAGGAATGTGACAGAAAAAGATTATAAAATACATCATCAGTTCTCCCTACCTTCTAAGTGTTAATATAGGTAGATACTACCAGAAGAAACATTGTCATATATGGACTTTGAAATCTGCTGGTTATTTAGTCTCCAGAAAATTTTTTAATCTTAAAGACCATGTCTAAATTTTAGTGGAATATATCAGTCCTTCAAAACATGAAATGCTTACCATGGCCTCTGCCATTTCTTGCTGAATCAAAATAGTTTCTACATTCTGTTTAACTCTTCCACCAGAGAAATAAAGTATCAAGAAGGGTCTCCCCTATTGTACCTCAATAAAGTGCAAATATGATTTTAAGTATGTAGGAAAGAAGTGAAAAAAACAAGGAAAAGAAAATAAATCTTCATATGCATGTGACTGGTTAGCCATGGCCTATTCTGAGGATCAGAAGACTTTCAAACATATTTCTTCTTTTATCCCAATTCTTTCCCTGCACCAAATACTGCCAAATATTGTGAAATAAAGCACCTGTAAATCTAAGCCACTTGGTACAACTATTTATTCCCTCTCATACTTTGACTACATTACTTACTTATTCTAACATACATAGAAAGGCAAATAGAAGTAAATGCTAAGCTTCCTCAGTTTGTTTGGGATTTCACAAGATGACGACAAATCTGGGTTTGACAAGTCAATTTTTTCAATCATGTGAACAATTGCACCAGTATTAATGGAATAAGCACATGCCTAACTGTTGAATCAGAGATGAGTTCTCAGAAATGTTAGTTTTCAACTGTTTTAGAACAGAAACGCTTGTTTTAGTAAGTCCCTAAAAGTACTTGCATCTCATATAAAAGGCATAACAGGCAAATTCCCGGTTATTCCAAATTACTGATATTAAAACAGAATGAATCACTGATATAAAAGAACAAAGCCTCAAACACAAAATAAAATTTAAAAAGATAAACAAATGCTACACAAGTATAATGAAAAAATAAGATAAAAATGATGAATACTTTCCACTGTACTAATGATTGCTTTAGTGATCATCTAGCCTAGAGCTTAAACTGAAAATCTGAACATCTTTAAAACATAAGAATGTAGGAGTGGTAGAGCTGTCATAAAAACTTCATCTGTTTCCAATTCACAAATGTCTTGTATCTCCAGCCACACTGAACTCCATTTGTACATATATGTCTATATAACTATTCTGTTAAAAGATATAGAGGTCTTTTTGTTGAATACATTTAAGTTCTGAGAATTATTGCCTTGATTCTGAAATGGAATTTTTGGACCATCCTAGTATGTAGCAAACTGCAGTGCTAGAATATATACTTGCTCCTAAAGAGTATTTGCTCTGAAATAGCAAAGAGATGTCACAGAAAAAAATTAGACCACCAAGTACACTGATCAACATGGCATTATCCAAGTAAAGTTTACAAATCCTCCATTTTGTATCTCTAAAAAAAGAGAAGCATCATCATCAAGGCATCTAGCACAACAGCACGATATATTAATCAGAAATTTCTACATTGCAAACCCATGAAAAGTGATATTTTTTCTTTATTACATGTAACTGAATTATTTCTTGTTTCTAATTTTCACATTTCCTTCATATGTTCAAACTAGCAGTATTTATTAATAGGTCAATTGTATGAGATTTTTATTTCATTGTAGTTTAAAAAATTATGCAACTTTGAAGAAAATTTAGAAGACAACTGAAGAACGTGTTTAATAGCTTTAAAATAAATTAAAAAATTTTCCATTTGCGATGTAATAATATGTGTCTAAGTTACTGCTGCCTCAGTTATGTGTCCTAATGCACATATATTAATTAGTGCTATTTTAATACACATGAAACAGAACCAATCATATCAGCTATCCTTCTCTCTAGCTGCAATGAACATGGTGCAAAGGTACAGCTACAGTTCTGCCTGCCATTCAGGATGCAGAAGTCACCACTATGATCTTGGCTCTTGCTCATAAGAGGAAGTGAGACATGCTCTCTAGGCTTCTGCTGAGGGATCAGTGATTCCTATGAAAAACCTGACAGAAACCATGCAAAGAAGCGAACAGGAGTATATCAGTATATCAGTTATGTTGTGCGCATCAGCTGTCAAAACATCAGCTTGTTTTTCTTTGCTTCAGTTAACTGAAGTCACTGAAGACCACTGGTGCTCAGCACTACAAATATATTGTTTGCTCTGGTCTGAAACCTGGACCATAAATCCCAAGGCACTGAAGATGATCAGTCGTATTGGGGTTTAAAAGCTACAGTGTGGGTGTGACTTAGTCAGCACTACTTGGTCTGGGCCTCACTGTGTCTTTTATATAGGCACAGATTGCTTCTCATGAAGTTGGTAAGAGCCTTTGGCCTTCAGGATCTAAAGCCTAATCTGAACTCTGTAGGAGGGAATAAAGGAGACAGTGATAATATAGTGGAGAATATGGCACCAACTATGTTATTAATAAGACATATGATTCTGTGATTTTCTCCTTGCATATTTGCAAATTTTATTATATGATAAACCAGAATTATACAGTGGTGAGCTAGGCCCAGAAATAAACTCTCATTTGTCAGATTATTGTAGTTCTCAGAAGGCGTATTTTAACATAATTTTAATTATAATGTCTGAATCTCCCTAGGGTCTGGTACTATAATAGTAATTAATATATTTGGCCCTTTTTAATGTGTTCCTTGCAAGCATCTTCAAACATCATGCAAGTATTAATGACTTTGACCTCACAATGCATTTATGATGTAGACGTATTAGATAAGAATCACTGAAGATAATTAGCTAGGAAAAAGAACCCACAGAATTTCCATTGTAGAGCTGAATTTGAAACTTATATTTCTTTTTCCTTACCCCCAACTGAGTTATGTGATATTTAACTACAGCAAGTAGCCTCCCTAGTAAATTATCCATACAAATAACAAGTCAAATTAATAGAAATTTTCTGCTTTTTCCAGTGGAAAAGAGAGGAAATAGTGACACATATTCTCCCATGAAATAAACTATTTAATGAAGCAGAACGATACAGAAGAAGTGGAAAGGGCTGCATGTTCAGAAAAGTCAATGTCAGAAAGGTCTTTGGCTACATGGTACTCCTGTAACTTGGAAAACAATAACCTGGAAACAAGCACGTCAGTGGATATTTCCAATTCTTTTAAGATGTCCCTTTTAAAGAAAAAAAAGTGTTTAATCTTGGGGGGTTTTTTTGTTTTTGTGTTTTTTTTCTTTTTTTGTCCCCTCTCCTTGTGGCAGGATTTGTGTGCAGAGTGAAACTGGAGTTTGTAAAAAACCTAAAAATGTAATATAATCATTTCAGTTTTCAAAATCTGTCATTATTGATATTACAAAATTATAAGTCAGAAGATGCAAAAGGCTTTGGTGAGAGAACTATAAAAAAAAGATTTAAAAAAATCTTTATTAATAAGAAACAAGAAGAATGTGTTATAAGATACGTGCTGTGGCAGAGAGCACTAAGCATTGGGAAATGGTGGAACAGCACTAATGAGGAGGTGTACAAAGAGCCTACGGAGAAAGCTAAGCAATAATAGCTCTGAATGCTGTCTGAAGAGAAAGACAAAAAGATAGCCACAGGTAGAGATGTCAGGCTAACTGTGGGACACCTAACCTGTAGTTCACACGTAAACACAGAGGGAGGTTACATCTTATGAAGCACATATTATCCGTAACTCAGAACCAGAAAAGACCAGCTAGGGAGCATGGCAGATAGTAGAAATAGCGCTGAAGATACAGGACAGAATAAAGATAAGGAATGATTAGAGAATATATAGGCTACAACAGATGAATAGAGAAACATCAACAAATAAAAGAAAGGATATGATGATTAAAAAAAAAGGTCTAAACAGCAGAATGTTCTGAAAGCTTGTCTAAAAGTTACCAACAGGCAAAATCCACAGGAAAAGCTGTATAGAGGAAAATAGAATCATCTGCAGCTCTGAAAAGAAATCTTTGAATGAGCAGAAAGAGATAGATAGGTGAAGAATATGATGGACAGAAGAGAAGATTGTAGTCAAAACTATAAGAATATTCTGAATCATAAACTTTGAAAGTAAGAAAAGGAAAAAAGTGAAAGAAGAAAAAATATCTGGCAATCAGTACAAAGACTTCAGGAGAACAAGATGTCTTCTAGCATATTGACCCAACTGCAAGATCCTGAAGTTGGCCCATTTATTTCTGCCTTTACTGTGATTAATGAGCAGCAGAAGAAAGATGAACAAGACAACAAAGAATTTATGGGCTTTTGTCAAGACACTGTATTGGATAATAGAAATAGCCACATTCTCAGTTATCCAGCTGGCTAATACCACAGCCTGAGGAAGAAATCAAAACCGCTGTTTCTGGTCTGAAAGTGGCTGGTGTATGGCTACATCATTATTTGTTACTTTAAGGATGGGGGCAGAGGGAGTAGATGAAGACTTAATAGTCTTTTTCTTAACTCCTGGCCCCCTTTGTACTACCTTATAGTACAGGGCATTTTAGGATGGAGCAAACCCTGCACTCCAAGGGGTGCACAGATTTCAGTTATTTCAGACTGATGCTTCTTGCCTGTTTTTTCAGCTTATGCACTTTTTTGGATGCTTTTGGTGAAGATAGCAGGACATTAGGCAATAACAGCCTTTTATGAATTAGTAAAGAAATACTGGTGATTAAAAGTTTACCAATTTACTCAGTTATTAAGTAACAGAGATATGGTGGTATACCAATGAAATTAATGATGTATGCAGTCTTGCTGAAAACTTAAAAGGTATGAAGAGAAATCCAATAGC